CGCTTACCGCAAGTGGTGTTGACGATCAACAAGGAAGTCACTCGTCTCCTCGATAAAAGACCCGTCGAAGCCATTCGAATGAAATCCGTGACAACCAAATCGGCTGCGTCATCGCGTCACGGCCAAGAGAAAAGACTACCGGACCGGGTCGTTGTGAGGTATCTGTACCAGCCCGGTGAACTCGAAGGAGGGGATAAACATCGCACCACAGACCCCGTATGGTCCATGAAAACAAACCACGTCGACTGAGTGGACATCAAAGATGACGAACTGAATCCGGGTAGGGGATACGTCCAAGAGGAATTACAAGTTGTCCCTCACGACACAGTATTGAAGATTCGTCTTATGTATGTCATTATCAACATGTGGAGATTGATCAAGAAATGGTTGTTCAGACGTGTCAGGGTGGACGTCAGTGGCCTCGATATTGACACCGCCCTGCATCGAGTCATAAGTCGAGGGAAATTCACCAGCTTGTACGATAGTTTAGGTCTCATGGGCACCGATCGGTTACAACATCTCATGGATACGTTAGTCGATTATAGCCTGACAACCAGGGAACGCACCGCCCTGTACACAACCTACTCTGTAGACCCCATCCACAGAGTTGTCGTTCAATATTACGGATACCTTGTGTGAATGCTGGATTACTACTGCTGGCATACCACAATATAGATGTGATATGCAGTTCAAAGTGATGTTAAAACATTTACTCCATTCGTCATGTGTGAAGCCCAATCCCTGGTGTCCCCCGCCTTGATATTGCTGAAAGTGGTGTAAAACCTTACCCACTCCAGTTGGCACACTGTTTGGGTTTTATATTTAGTTTCTGCTAGAGTTGTCTCCCATAGACAAGGGAGATTTCATTTTCAAAGTGGAAAGAGAACTGTCTTTGGTCTCACAGTCCCTGAACCACATTATTTCCCCTACTGCCAAGCCCTCCCTGCAATGCTAAAGCCTTAAATGAATCATCTCTTTGTCTCATTGGGTCTCCTTTTCAATTTAAATGAGTTTGTTACTATCAAATTTATATATATTCAGAGTTAGTGAGTATGGGTTTTACGCCATTTTTAGCAATATCCCAGTGATATCACGGCGGGGAACACCAGAAATGGGCTTCACACTTCAGAGACCCGTGAAGGTCCCGGTTAGAATATCGATCTTCAGTAACTCATTCTTGTCGTAAGAAGCGACTAACTGGATCGAGTGGTCAGACTTGCTGACTTGGTTGACACATGTCATCGGTTCCCAATTACGCAGATCGATGCTCATGCTGTTGATCACTGGATTGTCTGGCCTAGACTTGATTATTTACAGAGCGCCGCCATATAGCTGGAATATTGCTGAGTGCAGCGTAAAACTGAACTCACTCACTCACTTATATTCAGACAGGCCTGTTTCCTGTGTTTTGGATTAAAGGTCACATGCAACGTAAAACACAACTTTGCAGATTCTGATACCTTTCGGTATGGACTTACCGAAACAAATCATAAAAAATGCAAATTCAACTTAAAAAGTTGAGAAATAACGCGATGAAAAAACCCCCGCGAAATCGGAGTTCAAACGATTCACTAATTTTCCACTGACTTTTCGGGGGAAAACTGGTTTCAACAGCTGGGCTGCGCTCATAGCACGTGCGCAGTGAAATAGGTTCGCGCAGCTTGGAAGCGGGTTGTCCGGTGAATACTCAGTGAAGGCTTTGGTGTGAGCTATTTTTCTAATGTTTTGTTGATATCTCACAGGCGCGAGCTTTTTATATGTTATGACAGTAAATTAACTGTTTATATAATTTCATTTGTCTATTTCACCGCACGTTCTTCTTACCGAGTCACTTTCTCAGTTCGATACTTGAAAGCAATGTCATTATTTAGCGTTGACAGAATGTTTAACTGTGATATAGACATGTCGTTGTCACAGACAAAACTCAATGTCTTGTTTTATTGACACCTGTGTGTCTGCCTGCCTGTCTGCTAATGACAATATTCAATACACAGCTGCTATCACTGACCACATGCAATTTGAACTAAACACCAATCAGGCTATACACCATAAACAAAATGCATTGATTTATGGCCCGAGTTCGGTCTCTTTGTCACATTATGTAATTACACAGACAGGCAGGTGTGATACTTGAACACATGACATGTTATGATGTCTGTTGATTGCAAAATGTTATACACAAAAAATGAGCATGTATTTACAAAACCCAACATCTCTATATATACACACACAATGAGCCGTGAGGGCATCTGCAAATGAACCAGCCGTTACACTTGAGTGCACACCCACTGGCTCTGACTGGGTTCGGTATCCCGGCTGCTTCGATTCTTGGGAAGTAAACCCAAGTACACAATATTGCACTTTTGATTTGCGATTGTACGCTTATAATTTTGTTTATATGTTTTTTCATAACCAGCAATGTATATTATATGTCATGAATAAGTGATAATTGTGTTTTAATTATGCTTGATTTTTTGGTTGCATGTGACCTTTAAACTATAAATTGGAATCTCAGCGCATGAGTGAGTAAATGTGAGTATGACACAGCAGTTGCCACTGTTCAAGCTACATGTATGTCCTGATGGTTTGAACATTAAACATGTCAGGCAACAGATGTTCATCATCTGCAGTCAGCCAGGATACAGGGTGTAACTTACTCCATGCTTAGCTGGACTGCCTGCATGGTCTAGCGGGGAAGAGTTGGTACTTTGATCAGACCAAAACACATTCAGAACAAGGGCTGATCGGCTCTGACCTGTGAAGGTTTGGGTTAGAATTGGCCTTCAGTAACCCTTGCTTGTCGTAAGAGGCGACTAACAGGATCGGGTGGTCAGGCTCACTGACATTGTTGACACATGTCATCGGTTCCTTGTCAGATAGGGACATCCTTCCCTAGTATTATATGGGTGGCCTTCAATACCTGACCACTTTTAGTTTGTCTATTTTCCAGGGATAACAGACCTGAGCATGTTCTACTGACTTGTCACAAGACAATTTGCTCAATTATATTTTTGTGGATATATCTAAAATGACATCAGTGAGTAATTGAGTATGGTTTTACCAAGCTTTTAGCAATTTCTAAGTGGTGTGGAATAGAACCAGGTCTTCGGCGTGACAAGCAAACACTTTAACCACTAGGCTACCCTGACATCAGCAATGTTTGCAACTAAAAGTTTCAATATTGAGCTATTCTATGTGAGGCTCATAACAAAATTCACGCTCATATGAAGATTTGTGACAGATCTCTTGCTTGAGTGTAGATATGTGAAGATATTCAACAGACATCTTGCTTGGCTATTGCGGCGATTTACGTTGGCAGATCTGTTGTTTTAGTATGGGTATGTGACGGTTATGAACAGACATCTTGTTTGACTTTCTTGCTTGAGTGTAGATATGTGAAGATATTCAACAGACATCTTGCTTGGCTATTGCTGTGATTTAATTTGGCAGATCTGTTGTTTTAGTATGGGTATGTGACGGTTATGAACAGACATCTTGTTTGACTTTCTATATATGTGAAGATATTCAGCAGATCTCTGCACTGCACAGGCTTCACTAATTCTTGTCATGTTATCTCGTCTCCTGTTCTGCAGTGTGGGCGCAGTGGTTAAAGTGTTCGCTCGTCACACCGAAGACCCGGGTTCGATTCCCCACATGGGCACACATGAGGGGGGACCTCAAAAAGTGATGACCCTCTTTGACATGTGACACTATGTTTATGTTCAGGTGGGATTTCTTGCCACTTTTAGAATTATTCCTGCCATATTGTGATAGGTACTGAAGAGCAATCTCACACACGTTAATATGTGAGAAGTCGAAGTTATTGCTTTAATCACTTGACTCTTCATCTATCCCAGGGGGGCGGAAGGGTAGCCTAATGGTTAAAGCGTTGGCTCGTCACGCCGAAGACCCGGGTTTGAATCCCCACATGGGTACAATGTGTGAAGCCCATTTCTGGTGTCCCCCGCTGTGATGTTGCTGGAATATTGCTAAAAGTGGCATAAAACCAAACTCAGTCAGTCAGTCATCTATCCCAAACATGTCGAAAGTGTGCTGGATGAAATATGAACTGTCTCACCAAGTATTTTACTTTGCTGTTTGTTGTTTAACGCTGCACTCTGCAATCTAGCTATGTGACTGCAAACTGTAAATAATTGAATCTGTACCAGACAATCCCGATTGATATCATCCAGCTAAACAATTGGGGTGAGCAAGTGGGGGAGTATGGTTTTATGCCGCTTTTAGCAATATTCCAGCAATATGGCTGGGGACACAGGAAATGGGCTTCACACATTGGACCCATGTGGGGAATCGAACCCGGGCCTTCGGCATGACGAGCCAACACTTTCACCACTAGGCTACCCCAGCACCCCCTTAACAATTGGGATACAACAAGTATGAACCAAGTCAGCGAGAAAAATCACCTGATCCTGTAAGTTCCCTTTTATTCCCTTTTACGTTTAGCATTTGTGGCTGAAGATCAGTTCTAACCAAGATTGTTAGGGTTTCACTGAAGAGATGCGACTTATCCTCACATGGCACTGGTAACAGTCAGCGTTTCCCAAAACCATGACAGATACAAATTCATTGCCACATGTGTCATATGCTGGTTGACCAGGATTTTAAGAGCTGATTTACTCTATGAGAGTAAAGGTTGTGGGGTGCAGCTTAATTCTCATAATCATGCACATCACACCAGTCACATGACTTGCATTCACAAGCTACAAGACTGATTTTCATTGAAACATTTCTGGGTGACAATGAGATTTATATGGTGGCAGCCATCAGTTAAAAGGCTAACAGGGTCAGTTGTAATATGACAGCAAATGATGTCACTTTAAACATTCTGATGTCATGACATCTACAACCGCATATGTGTAGAACTCAGCAACTAGCCAATCAGATAGGGCTGGTTTCTTTAAAAAGAAAAATAACGAAACAACTTCTAAAATAAAGCAATCAGATACAACGAATACTAAAATAAACAACAAAAAAGTAACATTTGTTTCTGATTTATTTTTGGCATTGAGAAAACAACACCCGAGTAGTGGGTTAGGTTATCTCCCCTACCAGAGAGTTACCTCCCCTAGAGTTTCTTACACAAACTATGTACAGAACTAGCCAATCAGAGGCTGCAGTGACCGGTGTTAGGAGCTCGAGTACAGCTCGTGTATGTACAGGAGTTGTCTAGGATGCATAAATAAGCTACCTCTAAAGATACAGTCAGTGAGGGTTGGGACACAGCGTGTCTACAGATCTCTTCACACTGGTATTTACAACTGTACAATGTCTAACCAATCTCTCCTTCATGCGTTCCTCCCATGCACTCTAGCTAACACTTTGTTCTACAGTGACAATAAATATTCAATTTTTAAAATTGACAACTTTGTTCTGAATATGTAAAACTGACATGATGACAAACAGTTGCAGGAGAAACGGTGAGAAGACACTAGGGAAAATATACAAATGTAGAAAAAAAGCTTACCTGACAACAAAATCTGATTAACAAGTGTATAGAATACTTCATTTTATGTACAATCAAATCAAATACTAAATAGTTCCAGAACAGTTGAGTTAGACTTCCATGAACATGTCCTCAAGGTTAACAATAATACTGACGTTATCACTACGACTTAAAATCAGATGGCATAATTAAAATGGAGAATTGTTTGAATACAAGCTTGGGCCAGACCAATTTAATTCTTGTTTTACAGAACCGCCGGTTGTATTTTTTCAAGAAGAAGAAAAAACCCCAACTAATTTTCCCTGTTCAAAAAATAAAATCCTAATGTTTTTATTGGCGAAAAATGTAAACTTACAAAAAGGTTTTTTAGATTGTTTCTTGTCTCATATACGCTTCATAAATGGCCAAAAGTAAAATACTTTAAGTACTTAAAAGGAATATTACTTTGACTGGTGATTTCTTTCTAGTTTTTTTCCCCCTCCTGCCTTTTGGTTTTCTGAGGACTCCTGCCTTTTGGTTTTCTGAGGACAAAAATCCGCAAAACAAGAAATAAAATTGGTCTGGCCGTAAAGCAGAACTTGAGAAATTTTAACAATAATTCTGACCATGCTTGACGCTGACATCAGGAAGAGATATTATGACGTGCATAAATAGTCAGAGGTTGTATACTCATGCATTAAATAGTAACAAAGATAGTTTGGTATAGGAATTTTGTAATAAATTAACCATTTTAACATAACATTCTGCCAAATACAACTTTGGCTCTAAATAATTACTAACAATTATTTGTATATACATTTCATCAATGGAACAAAGAAAAAGAAAATGGCTGTCACTTCTGCAGATAGTTTGTTCTCATTCGCAGCTTTCACACTTAGTGTCAATCTTACACTCTCGTCACTTCAGACCAATCTAGACTACTTATATAGAACTCGGAAGTGAGGTTCCTCTACGACAGAAAGAGACACACAGACAGACTGATATGTCGGCCATGTAGGACTGATGTTAACGACACTCATCTACACGCAGGAGCCTTTATCTAGGTGAAGACTTCACTGGCATCGTTTCGTAGTTCCCTACAAGCACTCATCTGTCTTGACTGACAAAAGTTCCCAGATTAATCCAACAGCCTGAGTCCGTCCTAAGGGCAGACAACTCTGTCAGGCTTAACGTCCGTGCATAGCTACTTCGTATACAATCACAGCACTTAAAGAGTGGATCTTACACCATCCATGTAAAGTCTATCAATGTCCATAACCATTGTCTCACAAGTGATGAATCTAGACTGTGTTGACTGAACCTCCTGCTGTGCCTACTGTGAACTGAAAGACAACGGCACTCTTCTAGAATCTAGCAGTGTCTGGGGAAGGGTGGAGTTCAGTCTCAGCTGAGGTAACAATATGGTCCCAAAGTGTTGCAGCACAGGTTTCTGACTCATCTACTGTCTTACTACTACTGAGAGGGAGTTTGGCCTCAATCGAGGTCGCAGTATGGTCCCAGAGAGTGACCTTGACCTTGACCTTGACCTCCACAGGTTCCTGACCGAGCAAGTGTCCAGGATTCAACTGCGGTAACAATATGGTCCACAAAAGCCAGAATACCTGCCACAGCTTCCTGACTTAATTTCAGCTCCATCACATAAACATTCGGTATCTTTTGTAATCCTCTTCCATTACTATAACTCAGAAGCAAAGTCTGTTGCTAGCAAAGTGCCCACAGATCGGTGGAGTCTATTCACAAATGAAGTAAATGAGGCCCTAATGGTGGACAAAAAGCCTCGGCAACAAAATCCTACGTAAATTCTAGGATCTAAATATGTGAAGGTCAAATCTCTGGTCAGAATATAACCCAGCCAGAGCAATGCTGTATAAGACCTTTAACATCTAGAGGCCAACGAAGAATCATTAGGCCTTGGGTCAGAGAGACCAAAATGTGAAGTCCGAAGGTTCAGAAACCAGATTCCCTAGCCTGCAACCCATGTCGAGACATCCAAAGTTTCCATGAGAAGTGCCCTAAGTTAGCGCTGCCTGATCACACCTCTGTCCCCTCCGGAAGCCCAGCCTTCAGTTGGACCTGTGAGAGCTTGTTACGTCGTCCTTGTCCCTTTGTGACACCCCCCTGTGACCCCGAGGACAGGTTGTGTAGGTGGGAGGCTCCAGGGCTCAGGGGGGCTTCCTCTCGGCTGCTGGCACTCCCGACACTACCAGATACCTGCAATCACAAACATGCACAGTGTCAGTCAAACATGGACAGAATCAGTCAAACATGAAGAGTGCCAAACATGGAAAGAGTCGGTCAAGCATGAACAGTGTCCAAAATGGACATCATAAAACATATGCAGCATCAAATATGTGAAGAAATTATAACATCAGCCATATTTGATAAGTCAAAATCGGGTGGAACAAAAATATGCTGATTATGCAGCATAATTTCACTGACTCCCAACATCACTGTGGAAACTAGTTTGTTGTTTAACGCCACACTCCACAATATTCCAGCTCTATGTCAGTCTGTGGAAACTAAGGACATCACGGGGAAGGAATGATTTGAGAACATTGTATGCTGCAGACAACAATATTACAGCCATATCTCATTGTCATGACAACCTAAATTGGGACAGGAAAACATACATCATTATACCATTTGTTTCAATCAAACAAAAGGCACATAACCATTCAGTCGTCATTTTCATAAGCCCTTACAACAGGTACTTAGTATATGTAGCCCTATCTACAAAATCCATAACATACACAAGACAAGAGAGCTCTGACTTTGATGTTTTAACAGTGGGAGTTCTAGTTGAGTTGTGAGGCCTTACATCTTACAAGACAGACATGAGAATCACTGGAAATGAAGTCTATATGCATCTTCAGGGCCCATTTCTTCACTCACAAGGATAACTTTTAACATCGTATTCCAACAATATACACACTGCATTAGAAATAACTGCAAGAAAAATTGACTTTGTTTTTTCCCCAAATGACAGACATCCATCAAAACAAGACTCAAGACCAGGCAAAAATACATCGAGGATTCTATGTTTTGATTGTCTGAACATGATCCATCTCTGATAGTTCATTATCACATGGAGACCTGCTATAGCCATCAGAGTGACGGTTGATCCATGGCTACCACAAACACAAGACTATCCCGTGGCTCCTCTCGGTCGCCTCTGATAACAAAACCTTCAGAGAGCTCCAACTGGAAAACCATTGACTTGTTTCAGCCTGAGATGACTCCATATGCAATATGAATTATGTAACATCTTGTTTACCTCCTTAACTCCTTATCTTTGTCAGTTTTTGTTGTCTTAGGATGCAATTGTGCCAAATGTCTACAACAGTGTTGAAAAGCAACATTTACCAATATTGTGTGAAACAGCTTAGTCAGCAAACCTGTATCTTCAAAACAAACATATAGCTGTCAGGCCATGCTTAATTTAATAGGTGTTATTTACAAAGAAAGTACCATCCAGCCGAGAGCTTCATAACATCAACTCAAATAAGTTACCCAGTGTTTGAAATCAAGGGAGGCATGGCCTTGAACTTTATGACATGTTGTGAAACCCTGGGAGTGGTGGGGTAACCCAGTGGTGAAAGTATTCGCTCCTCTTGGGTTCGATACCTACATTGGTACAATGTTTGAAGCCCATTTGTGGTTTCCCTGGCCATGATACTGCTGAATTATTGCTAAAAGAAGCATAAAAACTTTCTCAGAGGTAGAGAGATGATACCACTCAAAACAATCACTGTCCAATACTGCGCACAAAGATGCGAGCCTTGTCTTCACTGCTGCTACAGTTTACGTCAACGCTGTAGTAAATGTACTCACCACCCCGCTATCCAGCGAAGCACCACTACTACCTCTTTTCATCCCTGGAGCTGTAAACACAAAACACCGACTTAACACAGTGACACGTACAGCTCTGCAGTAGACTAACAGTTAAACCCAATCTGATGTGACTGTAATGTTAACTGCATTACATTTCGAATAGGAGACAAAATGGCTGTGATGCACTAAAACCATACGGCGAATTTCGCAGATGTTTGGTTTATAAGATCATGAAGAATTTACATTATTCTAATTTTTGTGAAAGTCCTTTTATATTACTTGTAGATATCAAGTTAGAGTGAGTGAGTGAGTTTGGTTTTATGCCACTTGTAGCAATATTCCAGCAATATCACGGCTGGGGACACCAGAAATGGGCATCACACATTGTACCCATGTGGGGAATCGAACCCGGGACTTCAGTGTGACGAGAGTATGCACTAACCACTAGGCTACCCCACCGCCCCTATCAAGTTAGAAGGACACATACGATGAATCTTTCTGACGTTTGGTCTATCAGATCCTGAAGAATTTTGTATTATTTCAATTTCTGTGAAAGTCCTTTAATACTACGTGTAGATATCAAGCTCCAAGGACTGTTAACTAAGATATGTAACTGGTGATTCTGTTTTACACATTTCACTAGTCTTTTTTATAGTAATAATGACTCATGAGTTCATAGCAAAAAAATTGCTATGTCACATTAAATCTGAAATTCATTTAATTCTAACATTGCCAGTTAACACTACAAACACGTCGCAACTTTTCGTAATTGATGTGAATGATCTGTTAGTGAGATGAATGAATTTGAATATGAATAATGAATCTGATGATGATGATGATGATGATAAAACATAATTATAACAGGAATTTAATTCCAACATCAAAATCAGACATATAAAACTATAAAATAATCATCTCACTTAAAAAACAACATTTTTGTTTCATGTACAATATACCTTGCTTAAATTACATCACAGCAATGAAAGTTTTGATCATGAAATAAATGTCCGAAATTTCCTACAGATAACTTTATAATAATTCAAATGGAAATGCTAATTAAGCAGACCTGTTAACTAAACGAACCTGTCCTTAGAAACAACAAACCATCAAGTCTTAACTGTCCTTGAACAAACCTTCAGAAATCAACGACAACAATGAACTTACCCAGAAGTAATGAATGTTAAACTGCAAATAACAAATATGATTTCATACTGATTACTGATTACTGTCCGACACCCAGAGAGAGGCTTGAACTCGACACTGGAAACAACAAAGAACAACACCATCTACCAACTAGTGAAACAACAGCCAGCTGAAGCTGTTTCCACGGTGATATGCGACGTGATATATTGGCAAAATAAAAATAAAATAAAAAACTTTACAACACAGAAGACAGAAATCCGATTCAACTCAAAATAAACTCAAAACAGATGACGACAACTGATCATGTATGACATGAAATGAATGATGTGGCGTTAAAATGAACAGGTAAGATAACAAGCTGTGGAACATAACATCGTGATGACGAGCTTGTGTTAACGTCAGCCATAACATCAAGCAAGGGTTTTCTCCTAACACTGGTGTTCAACGCCTGCAGGAACTCGCTGGTTGCACGGAACTGATCAGGAAGCGGTGCTGCTCCATGCAGAAACCAGTGAGTGTTTCCAAACAACGATAGCCTGCAGCAAGTAAAACTAAACACTGCTGCTCGCAAACAACACAATCAATAAGCAGAAGACAGGGACACCAATATCACTATCTACAAAAAGAAACACTGTCACCTGTGAGTGGAACGGTAAGGTCCACTTGTGCATCCACGTGTACAAGAAGCAACCATTTTAGTAATATTCCAGCAATATCACTGAAGGGGACACCAAAAATTTGGCTTCAGACATTGTACCATTGTGGGGAATCAAACTTTGGGTCTTCGTGGAGACGAGCGAACACTTTGGCCACTTGGCCACCCCTTAGCCCCGTTAACTGTGGTTATGGTAACTGGGTATCAATCATTTATATAATTCTTATCTTCTCCTGAAGTGAATCTGTAATCTTACATTTTATTCATTTCCATGAAAGGGATGCTGACAACACCAACAGGTTGGTAATGTTATTTTAGGCCATTTTGGTGGTGGATTGTCATTCTAGAATATAAGCTTGGGGTTAGAAATTGCGACTAAATTTTTGAATTCTTAAATTTGATCAAAGAGTTGAATTGATATAAATAAATGTTTGATATGGCACATCGTCAGAAAAAGCATTTATTTTATGTTTTTGTAGAACTCCAAACTTGAAAAGTAAACACAGAATATCCATTAGTGAAACAGGAGTGTTCATTCAAACAGTGAAAAGCTGCATTGGAAGGGTCCATCTTGCATGTCAGGTTACACAAAAGTCAAACATTATTTTCACTGGATCAAACCGTCACATCAACAAGAGACTGGGTAGAACTTGCTGTGTTATCTTCAGCCAAGTCAAACACGTTGCAAAAGCACATGAGAAAAAGCACAACTGGTTTCAGGGGGAGTGGACACAGTACCGGAACAGCCTACCTGACGACAACCTTAAAACCAGAGCTGCACTAAAGCTGCTAAAAATAGCCAGATTTATTCAGGAACATGAGATGCCCATTACAAACAAGATGACATGATCTGAGGTACAGACATTTATCAATGTTCACTTTTAATGAGGAAGCAAACATCCATTATAGGTTCTCGTCTCACAGCATCAGATCAGGATATGGCAGTCTTATCTCTGTTTGAAGATTTTTTTTTTTTTAAATTCTCAAATAAAATAATTACACAGAGGAGAAAATGATGTAAACAGCTTGAATTCTTATCATTTTCCATCTAGCCATTCCCTGACTGGTGCTAAACATTTATCAGTGGTCTTCATTTATATAACAAGAATGACTAAGTTTTAATTTTTTCATTTTCATTTCAAAATTGCAAACAGCTGACACAAGTAACAACCCTTTGTTCAAAATTTAGAAAGGATATATTTTGATAAATTACAAAGGTTGGATAAATTAGCTATATATGTGACTTTATTTATAAACTTCCTTGCAGGTTGATATGTCCATAAAAGTTTATCTGAGACGAAAGTCTATACCATACATGTTTACTTCTTGTAAAATATTGTCATGATAAAGGAACTGAGTATGACATTTATTATCTTTCACGTCTTTACCAAATAGGATTAATCAGTCAGTTGGGTCAAAAACCCAAACAGACAAAACACGGAAAAGAAATCAACACTTCCTTTATCATGACCTTAAAGGTCGACCCATCCTTAAGTGACAAAATATATTTGTTCTCGTTATATTTTAGATATCAAGATGGTGTGATGTGATTGGGTGAGTCTTCCTTCATTAACAAAAGAGGCTGAAACTTTGCGAACAAAATAACCATCCATGCAGCATGCCCATGCATACCTTCACACAAGTCAGTGAGGGAGTTGGAGAGAGTGTGTTTCTTCAAGCCTCCGCACTCAGGCTGGACAGTCTATTTACGGCAGGGTCTGAGGGCTTCATGTGATCGATATACATTAGTACCCGCTGAGTCGTCATTTGCATAGTGCTTCTCTATCGTGTTGTGGTTGGTCCGATGTCGATGTAGTTCCTCTTCTATGCGCCCAGCTGTTCCATGCCGTTGGTCTGTGAACATTGTACGTGTCAATGAGCAATACATAAAAACTATCCAACTATCCAATTCTTGAGAAAGACTTCTTAATCTGTTAGACAAACATTGTCTCTCCATATCACTTTCAGCAGATTGAAATTGTCTTTATACTGAACAATAAAATCGAGTTCATGAATATTTTGGGGGCAGATCTTTTTGTTGTGAAGACTTATCAGACAATTTAAAAAAAGGTATCCCGCCAAATATTCATGATCCTTAACCTTTTTTGGTCAGCATATATGGGCTATGATTATCTAAGCATACCAGACCCATCATCAGGCTTCTGACTAGTGGTGAAATCGAATACCAACGACTCTATTGGTTTCTGAGATGTCTGACTCAGTGATTTAATATCAAGATGAAATTAAGTTTTCTGGCCGTCTCTTTTGAAATATTATGATGGCTGTTATTATTTTTGCGAACATTAGAGCTACCATTGTTTTGTATTTATGGAAGAACAGAAACAGTCTGTCATGCAGGAATTCTTTTGTGGAAGCTGACAGCTGATTCTCTTGAATTTGATCAATATTCAAATTTCATGTTTTCAAAATGGAAATCTTTAAAATGTTTAAAAGGCATAATGGTTGAAAAAGAATCGATTCAAATGCATTGTCGGTAACCTGATTTGATAATAACAATTTAATGGAGAAATTATCGCGCAAATGTTACAAGATGTGAAAGAATATTGCTGAATAACGTCTTGTCCACTAACTTCCATAATGGCTTCTTTGAGATCTTCTACAAACTTCTGCCTGTCATGGTCGTTTCTGGCGTTGAAAGTTAGTATAACTTTGCCGTCTAAAGTGTTATTCAGCTGAATGCCAAATTGATAATCTGAAAAAGAAATCAATAGTTCAAATAAACTAACAGGTTTGTCTAAACGCACTCATAAGTCAATCCTACATAATTAGACGTACTGGTTTGTTACAAATGGAAATATTAATAAATCAATACTGTTGGCATGGTACAACGAACACGCACATACTGAGAGCGTATTGATTCATATACTTTATTGAGATGTACAAATATATGGACAAAGTGTCACAGAAGGAACGTGAAAGGTTAGGGCTTAAGTGGAAAATCAAAGCCAAGTTGAGATAACATTGTATTACTTACTTGAAGTTTCAAATAGGAAAACCTGCATTCCACAGAGAGATGCGGAGTTCTTTAAAGCATATGTTATTCCAGTCTTCTTCTTGCTGAAGATTTTTGTCACCTGAAGAATAAAGACAAAATTATATATAATCATTACATATACTTCTCAATCGTTGCCAAACTAAAACGTACATATCTCACTGAAGTAATAGCTCTTTTCTGTAGCCATGTCCTAAAATTAAATCAAACAAAACCATCCCAGTGCTTTGACTGGCTTAACTCTATGTTAAAGCATGGGAGAGATCATTATCTTAGTGCTGAGATAGCTTATGGAACAGAACCTAGGTAAAGCATTGTGGAAAAGAGCCCAGGTAAAACACTGTGGGACAGACCCCAGGTAAAACACTGTGGGACAGACCCCAGGTAAAACATTGTGGAAAAGATCCCAGGTAAAACACTGTGGAAAGACCCCAGGTAAAACACTGTGGGACAGACCCCAGGTAAAACACTGTGGAACAGACCCCAGGTAAAACACTGTGGAACAAGACCCCATTGTGTGTAAAACACTGTGGACTACAGACCCCAGGCAAAACACTGTGCAAACAAGACCCATTGAAGGTAAAACATTTTGTAAAATGGAACAAACCCCAGGTAAAACACTATGGAACAAGACCCAGGTAAAGCATTGTGTGTAATTAATTACCTCTGCTTCTAACTACCCAAACCCAATTTAGCTCTCATTAGCAACAAATTTGAATTTGGAATGCAAACAAGATACTATGCATTGAACTGATTAAAATGCTCTTTAACTTGTAGCATCCCTTGAACGAGGAGGTGGGAATATCTAATACTTTGGATTTTTAATAATTAGTGATTTGAACTGTGATGATTGTAATAACCCTATGGGAACTTCATAAAGGCACTGAACTGATGAATTCTGCTGCTAACTTATCAGCTGCCATATAAAGGTTATTACCATGTACTTATTATGATAAAGTATATATAACATTAATACAATGCTTAAGACTAATAGACTTAAGCTTGTTAATATGCTAGTATAAACTCCTTAGAGTTTGTTAGCTAAAATACTTTAAGATATAACATAGTACTAAGCTTAAGATATGATTAAACTTAAGCTAATTATATAATAGCAAACTCTTTAGAGTTTGTTAGTTAATATACTTATATGATATAGATATAATGCTGAGCTTAAGATATGAATAAGCTTTAGCTACATATATAATAGCAAAAACTCTGTAGAGTTTGTTAGCTAATATATTTTTATAATATGAGTATAGTACTGTGCTTAAGCTATAATTAACTTAAGCTACATATATAATAGCCAAACTCTGTAGAGTTTGTTAGCTAATATATTTGTTAGCTAATATATATTTATAATATTAGTATAGTACTGAGCTTAAGATATAATTAACTTAAGCTACATATATATAGCAAAACTCTGTAGGGTTTTGTTAGCTAATATATTTTTACAATATGAGTATAGTAGTGTGCTTAAGATATAATTAACTTAAGCTACATATATAATAGCAAAACTCCGTAGAGTTTGTTAGCTAATATATTTTACAATATGAGTATAGTAGTGTGCTTAAGATATAATGAACTTAAGCTACATATATAATAGCAAAACTCCGTAGAGTTTGTTAGCTAATATATTTTACAATATGAGTATAGTATTGTGCTTAAGATATTATTAACTTAAGCTACATATATAATAGCCAAAAAACTCTGTAGAGTTTATTAGCTAATATGTTTATAGTGTAACCATAGTACTAAGCTTAAGATAAGATTAGACTTAAGCTAAAAGTATATAGCAAAAAATAAACTCCTTAGAGTTTATTAACTAATATACTTTTTATGTTAAAACATAATTACTGAGCTTAAGTTATGATGAAACTTAAGCTATATATATATATAATAACAAAAACTCACGGAGTTTTGTTAGCTAATACCTTTATAATGTAAACATACTGCTTAAGATATGATGAAACTTAAGCTAATTGTATAAATGAAAACAACCCTTTAGAGTTTGTTAGCTATGATATAAACCTAGTATTGAGCTTATGAAGGAAAACTTAAGCTACATATATAATAGCAAGAACTCAGTAGAGTTTGTTAGCTAATACATGTTATAATGTAACCATAAAGCTTAAAATATGATGAAACTTAAGCTTAAATATATAATAGCAAAACCCTCTTTTAGAGTTTTGATAGCTAATATACCTATATGATATAAACATAGTACTAAAGCGCTTTAAGATATGAATAAGCTTTGGTTACATATATAATAGCTAAAACTCTGTAGAGTTTGTTAGCTAATACATGTTATATTATAACCATATTGCTTAGAAATATAATGATACTTATAGCAAAAACTCTTTAGAGTTTGTTAGCTAATCTACTTATATGATATAAACATAGTACTAAGCTTAAGATATGAATAAGCTTAAGCTACCTATATAATAGCAAAACTCCTTAGAGTTTGTTAGCCAATATATTTTAATAATATGAGGTATAGTACTATGCTTAAGGTATAATTAGCTTAAGTTACCTATATAATAGTAAAACTCCGTAGAGAGTTTGTTAGCTTAATTAACTTAAGCTATGTATAAAATAAGCCAAAACTCTGTAGAGTTTGTTAGCTAATGCATTTATCATGTAACCATAGTATTACTCTTAAGATATGAATAACTTAAGGTAAATATATATAATAACAAACTCTGTAGAGTTGTTAACTTATATATTGTATGATGTAATAATCATAGTACTGTGATGATAAAAGGAACTTAAGTAAATTATACATAGCATGAAGCTATTTAGTATTGTTATAAGATAAGTAAAAATCTGTTAGATTGACTTATCTTCTCCGAGGAACTGTCAGCTGTTGTCGCGAGGACCATGGGATCGTAATTGGTGTATACCTGAGACGTCCTCGGTGGTGATATCTCTCAGATAATGGTTTGCAACCACCATATCGAGTTCCAGAAATAACCCTCCATTATTTCAATCACATTTGTGTAGAACAATTGTAGAAGTTAAGCTATAATATCATGAGTATTAAGCTCATGGAGGGTCGGAATAGGTCCATCCGCATATGCCCGTGTAGTATGACAGTTCTGATCCAAATGGAGATATAGTACATGAGACTTCACTCATGAAAGTTGATGATAGAGGAAATAATCTGTTGCATTTTTTCCTCCTGTTTGGTTTGGTGGAGATAAATTTACAGTGCTCTTGCTGGCCAACTTGATAGAATCATCGTATCATGGGGTCCAAGTATGTCATCCAGGCGTGTTCATAAACCTCACTTGTGAGGTGTTGGAGCACTATATTCATATCCCCAGGTTGGGCGTGAAATTTCCGTTTTATTCTCCAAACAGAAGTTTAGTAGGTTTACTAACCATCTAGTTGTGTTAGTCGCTTGATGAAATTCAGCTGTAGTCTGAAACGCTGTGGATTTAGATCCACTTGTATCTTCGTCTAGGTAATTAAGCTGCGAAGTCCTTGACGATGTAGGTGCACAACCAGGTGTGTCTGTCCTCGTTGAACTTTATGTAAAATCGCTTGACTGCCCGATCCCTCGTCTTAACTTGACAGGGGAGGTCTCTAACTTGAAAGAAAGGCAGTCTAATCATGAATGTTCAGGTTAACTGGACTGTAATGAGGCTTGCTTTCGTTCACTGATATATAGTTGTCACTTGTGACGTAAGTCTTGAACTGTGAATTGAGATCGACCTCTGTGTAGGTCGTTGTCCTCGCGGTCCAATCAGAACAAGGCATTTTGATTCTGTATAATACCAGCGCTGTGATGTCACCGGTGTAGCGGAAAAACCCACCTTGAATAAATTCTTGTCGCCGTTGATATTAGCATAAACGCCGGTCTTCACCGTAGCTTCGAAGTTATCCGAAAGTGACCACGCGTGTTTGAGGGTTAATGGTAATCGCTAAAACCTCCGGCCTTGAAATATCTCGCTCTGTAATTTTATGCTGGGTAGGTTATTTTCCTGGTTATTTGTCGATGAAAGTAATTTCAGTTTTGAATATAATTCCGACTACCTTATATATAAGGGTATAAACAACTTGCAAGTTGTGAGCTTGTAGACTGTATACATGAATGTATCGTCATAATTGTAGAATTAACGTTGAACTTGTTGTACATATTTCTTCTCAGAAACTTTGACGATTAAGAGTTATACTCGCTGTAACAAGGCTGCTGTTCAATTTCGATATTGAATTGTCTGCAGATATGCGTAATGGTCACGCATGTAGATAATCGTATCGTCGTCCGGGATTGTATATTAGCAATTTATACTGAATAGTTGATTTCTGTGAAGATCTATGAAATGTCGTTGACTAATAATACAGCGACGTTCTGTGTTGTAAATAGCCTGAGCAATTATCTTCGCGTGGAGGCTTATAGACGGCATCTGGCATACAGTTGATAATCAACTTATCGCGATGTCTTGAACGGACTGACGCAGTAGCTATATATGACGAGTGGCTAGTATATGGAAACCTTGGAGGAGACTTCCTCGGTGAACGCGGAGACTTCAGCGAAGTTCTCAAGTATCCCTTCTAGATCTTCTGGGTGAAGTAGACTTGGAGCCACTTAGCCTTCAGCGACCATCGCTACGAAGGTGTCGAATCAAAAGCCGATTAGTATATATATATATATATAAATATATATATGGCTTGCTTGAGTGAACAGCCTCTGTGTTTAACAGGATGTGGGATCGGCGCTTGCCTAAAATAGGGTCCGCATGGATCATCTTATCATATTCAGAAGTCGTGTTACGAAGTCTGGTGATAAGTGTCTAATTGATCGTTCTAGATCTATTTAGGCCAGCGAACATACGTCTCGTCATGGGTTCAACAGAACCAATATCACGATTGTAGTTCTTATACTTGATATCGATGATCAACTTGTCTATGGGTTGATCTTCTGGGGAGACTTGTGAGGAGCGTTGATAGTTTTGTGAAGCTCTTGTATAGTCCCTCGATGTCCTTCTAGATGATGATGATCTGGATTCAGGTGTCCTTGGCGCATGCAGCGAAGCTTCCTCGTCGTCGGTCGGAGGCGACGATATGACCTTCAGCGAAGGCTTCCGTGATGTCTGATGGTCCGAGTCCACATCTAGGGATGAAACCGCATAAGGTGATGATCTATCCTGCCTTGAAGGCTGTACATCTAGGTTCTTTCCGCGCAGCGAAGGCTGTACATCTAGGTCCTTTCGCCGAGCGAAGGCCTTCGAAGAGCTGTACATCTAGGTCCGCCGTCAAGGTGGTCCGTGACTTCGCCAGCGAAAGGTGACATCGTCCTGGCTGCTCGTTGTTGGCGGGTGCCTCTGGGGTGCTGTCACGTTGGAGCCTTCGCTGAAACTTGCTCGGACCCTGCTACCGCAGATATAGTGGTCCTCCATGATGTTCATAATTTGTCGCATCATGTCTTCTGGGATGGTCTGCGGCGAGGTCGTCCGGTGCTTTATCTGCGGTGTTAATGGAGGGGTCCACGGAAAATCGTCCGACATCAGTGTAGAGGCATCAGGCTGCATGGTGATCTCTGCTGATGTCGTTGTAGCAATCACCGGTCGTTTCTTGTGGCGTCGTCGGGGATGATGATCAGCTGATCATCGTGAGGTCCAGGTCATCGGCTGGAACAATCTCGGTTGAGAAAGTCCTAGTAGACTTCGTTGATTTTCCCTCAGAGGTCGGCGCTGCCCTGGGTGTCGCGGCGTCTGCGTTGAGTGTTGGTAATGATGGGACCCTCAGGGACGATCGCCAGCATATCTGCGTTGGTACATCAGGCTGCATGCTGATCTGAGCCGACATCGGTCAATCTTTGATGTACATCTGGTATGATGACCGGCTGATCATCAAACAGGCCCAAACTGCGATGGGGAGCGGTCACCGGCTGTAGAGATGTGGTAGAAAAACCCTCTAGTCTTCTGCTGCGGCGATGGGATGTCTGGGAAGCAGGATGCTTCTTGGAGATGGCGGACCTCGTCCACACCTCTCCACCACTCTAGCGAACACCACCTGCGGGAGGAGTCGGCCAACAGCAGTAGACTGGCGAGGGTTCCGTGTATCAGTCATACTAGAGTCTGCATAGCGACCTATCTGCTGTGCGTGCCAAGCATAAAGTAAATATTAATAAAAAGGTAGAATTGGATAAATTAGTACCGCTAACTGCAATGTGAATATAATAAACATGCGCCGTACATCATATTAAAGGCGGATCAGCAGCAGCATAAAAGCGTAATCTGCAATAGTACAGAATTTTCATCAAGCGTAATCCACTGAAACAAACACGGTCCATTGAATAAACTGTAGAAAAAGCGACTAAATATCAATATATAATCGTTGAAGGATACTAGCTAAACCTCTATAGATGTCTATACGAGGTAACTAACTAAATATATTTCAAAGGATATAGTGTGTCGGGAGACACAGGCGCTCTCACGTCCAGCTCACTGGGCGAAGAAGGAGAGAGTGAGGCACATGGGTAGAGGTGGCGCCCTCGTTCCCGAGCTTGTGGAAAGGAGGTAACTCGTGGTGAATACTAATTAGTGATTTTAAATTGAAGGGAGCTTCAATTAGGGAGATACAAGTGTTCCACTATGTTCGCAAGAAGAAGAAGACAAGCAAAAAGAGCATGAGTCAGGATAAGGAAAAATTATAGTTATCAACTAAAACTACACAAGAATATTTTATCCTTTTCTGATTTGCCTTCATTCAAACACTGAATCTGAAGTCTACTTCAGCGGCTTTATCTCAACACTTACGAGGATCATGTCGTTAAACAGAAACACTTCTCTCTGATGGAGACCGATTTTTTCCTTTTTGTTTGGGTCGTGGACCTCATAGAGTCGACAGTAGCACACCAGACGTCGCCAGGGTAGGGTAAGAGCCTGCAAGAACAATGCAAGCATCAAACTAAAGTTCATTTTCACAAACAAAACAACCTTTTCAAAAGAAAAATATGGAAGATAATTTCCATCCAAATTCTTCAGTACTACATGATACATACACAAGGATAAACAGGTCATATAATTTTTTTTATCAACCATTTTGGGGGGGGATAACAAAAAACAATTAAGAATATTTTTTTTAGGTCCCCTGTTGGTATTTTTCCATTAAGCTTTGTAATGGAGCATTAAACTACTTATCAGCAAGTTTTACTCCTTTAAAATTTCAAGAATATATCTTTTTAATGTTTTTTTCTTCAAATTTTCAAATGCCACATAAGATTTAAGTGTTGGCTGGCTTGATGACAGTTTAATGTTCTTTGTGCATTAGGACCAGCAGCAGCTTTGTGGTAGCAGACGCAGTCCCTGGTGGACAAAAGACTGCAAGGGAGAAAACTCTGGCACACTGATAGGCTACATTATGTACACGTGGGGGGTCAGAGCTCTAAAGACATCTGAAGTTTGATTTACAGTTGCTGTTACATTCTCTGAACTCAACAAGAACATTTTCTTCACAACTACCTTCACAGTTACAATACCACCTTGGATGTTTCTTAAAATGTAAACCGTCTGAATAAAAATAACTAATTTAATACATTAAGACTGTATTGTAAAACACAACAACAGTGCCCTTTAAAAGAGTCCAGTTTTAATAAACAGTTCTCTTTTCGTGAAATATTCACACTGCGGAATATGATCCTCCTTTTGCATACATACACATGGCAGGGATATCATTCCAAACATTGTAAAAAAATTAGCAGCTGAACAATGCCGCTGTTGAGCAAGTCACATTTGTTTTGGCCATGTTCCAATTATCAGCTGCAGACAACGGCAAACCAACAGGGGCAGCAACAACAGCCAGCTTGTCATCAGGCAGGGTTGTGGTCTCGTGTGGGACAAGAATGAACAACGCCTAGATTCTGTGATGGTCGTACAGTCAGTGTGCTACCCTGGATTACACGACCAGTAGTCCTGCGGTAATACCTCTTCTGAGACATGTTGTTTTCATTGTGATGCACATATGGTTTAGATTCATCAAATCAGGTCAAACTTTTGGGTTTTTTGTGTTCCAAGCTTATTTGAGCATGAACATGCAGTGGAGGCATGTAGTTTATTGCAGAAGCTCAGCTGTGGGGGTGGGAACGACACAAAGAAACTGGTCTACTTTCACACAAGTTTCTCAAGAGTCGGCTGATTGACAAACACAGCAAACTAATCAGTTTCAACCCAGTGCAGTCACCTCCTTTAATTAATTCTGAATATTACCAAGAAGATTGTTCATTCTAACCAACTGTTACATTGAGTATGTTTTCATTCTGAGTACATATTATGAACCTAACTATCTTGATTTATAGCGTCTTTTTAAGCATTATTTTTTAGAAATATATTTAATAAGAATTTTAAGCTCTCTATATATCAAAAGTTAATTGAGTATAAAACCCTGGAATAAGGTTGTAATAGATGGAAAAGGATCTACTTAAAAGTCAAATATCAGATAAGCTATTATCTTTGTCTGTCATGCAGACGCTGAAACAAATATATCGAATATCTATGCATGTCTATATGTGGCAAGGGTTGATGTGTCTGGGTTCTTTTTTATTATATTTTATTATGATAGTTTAAGGAGAGTTTTTTTGTTGCATTTTGTTTTTGTAAAATATGTTTATTTAAGACACTAGATGACGTCTGCCAAGATCTATAGATTGGACAGATATTTTTAATATTTATGTACAATATTCTTTTTTTGGTTTACATATTCTGTCTGACTTACGAAAAGCAAAAAAACATTAAAGTTTCGTACCGGTTTCTTTCCAACTATTGTCTGTTCCACCTTGGCGACTTGTGACACGTGATCCACACCAGAGCGAAACTCTTGTTCTCTGACTCGAGCGTAGATACCAGCAAGCAGGTCCCGGTCCACGTCCCCACCATCATCAATACCTGCAATCAGCATCAATCATTCATCAGCAACCATTGTCATGATGACAAGGTGCGCGAGTAATAGTTACAGATCCATGGGAACAGAAATAACCAGTGTCATGATGACAAGGTGCGTGAGTATATAGTCACAGATCCATGGAAACAGATGTACTGTTCCAGCTAATGGCTGGCTACAATAACCATTTAGTGAGTGAGTGAGTGGGTGAGTGAGTGTGTTGGTGGGTGAGTGTGAGTGCTACAGTGTGAGTGGAGTGAGTGAGTGAGTGAGTGAGTGAGTGAGTGATGTTTGAGTGAGTGAGTGAGTGATGTTTTATTCTGCATTTATTCCTTCAACATCACAGCAGGGGTAACCAGAAATGGGCTTCACATTGTACCCATGTGGTGAATTGAACAACAATTGACAAGTGAACACTTTAATCACTAGGTAATCATGTGGTGCTTAGGGGGATAGGTTGAATATCAGGATCACGTGGTTTTGAGGATTGGGAGGTTACAGTATGTGTATTGGCTAGGACAGTTACTGTCACTTGATAGACTGTCAAATTGCACTGGTTTATCTTGCCCAGATCCAGTTACTGGCGGACTACCATGATTATACATAATTTCACTGACTACCCAATAACATTCATCCACATTAACCAGGATCCCTTTTCACAAAGAGATGGTAACACCAAGGTGTTCGTAACTCCCATACTTCAACATATCACGGTAGAAGCAGTACGATTGCTTTGAGGGAAAGGGCTCATTGCATAATGTTGAGCATATGGCTGAAGGGACCTAATTCCCTCTGAATTCCTGAGTTGTTTGATGTAGAAATACATGTACTATTAATTCCGTCAATAATAACAAATAATATACCAACTAAAACAAATAATCCTTCAATACTGGTGATATGTTAAGACCTTTACGACAGTACAGGAGAACCTTACAACTGTATATCAGACACGCCTTTTATTGTACACAATAGTTTAATATTTGGGATGACTGCCTGCTGCAGACTTGCATTAATATCTGCAACCATATTGAAACCATATTTCAAGTTCCCTGAAGCTTGATCAAAACATCCTTGATGTACACAGAAAATATGAAAACATGGCATCCATATTTACAAAGTCCCAGTACAGTCGACCCCACACCATTTCCACTCTCTTAAATCTACATATAAACCACTTGTACTGGCTTACATGTTCAAGTTTATTGCTAACAGTCATGACGACTTTGATGATGATGATCTTATAAACCACACCACAACCATCTGAGGTTGTCAATCTTGATGAAATCATTGCCATTAACGCTGACATAACACGTGTTTCCCCAAACCACAGCAACCCGAAACCTGCACGATGTACTCAATGTGCAGCAGCGTACACCTTGTGGTAGATATGTACACTCGTAAAGGTCAAGTCAACATGTGGGGTCGGGGATTAAATTGAGACATTTGTAGTTGTCAGGAACACCCTACCCCAGGCGACATTATGGGTCCCAAAGTCTGCCCTCTGACCTATCTGACCTTCGGGTGTCACTGGCCCCTAGCACATTGTGGGGTCTCCCCAGTCAGGCTCTATATGGAATTATTTTAAAAAGTTACTGATGAAATCGGTTAACAATTAACCACACCTTTACCATTTAGAACAAAAAGATGAAAATGTAATAATATCACAATAACGTCCTCCAATGTCAATAAATTCCATATACCCAAGTAGTCTGTCCCTAAGACCCTAGAGAAACCCATGAAGATCCGGGTTAGAATTGGTCTTCAGCAACCCATGTTTGTCGTAAGAGGCGACTAACGGGATCGGGTGGTCAGACTTGTGGACTTGGTCACATGTCATCGTATCCCAATTGTGTAGATCGAAGCTCATGCTGTCGATCAACGAACTGTCTGGTCCAGATTCAATTATTTACAGACCGCCGTCATATTGCTGAGTGCAGCGTTAAACAACAAACCAACAAACACGAAATTCCACATACCCATGTAGTCTTCAAGACCCTAGAGAATATACTATTAGGAGTCCTACTAAAGTCTAGAATTATTTGGCAAGTCTAGATTGCCTCAGCTCAGAGAATACAGATTGTCCTGGACTGTTCATATTTGTTTTGAAGATAAATATACGTTTTAATGTTTCAAATAACACAAGTATATTTGTGGGATTAAATGTTAGCCTACCACATCTGTCGAACACCTTTGAAACACTCGAGCTCATATCACTTGAAAAAAAGAAGAAAAACTGTTTAGTTAAAACAACTTGTATCTTTTTCCATTAGAATTAACACGAACCATCTGTGTCTACCTGTTTAACCCCAGAACAGGAGTCATCCCTATTCTCCTCCCCCTGACTTATGTTCTAATGCATTGTACAGGGTGAGAGGATGCCAGGGACAATGGTGACCCCTGCCTGCTACTGTGGTAGGTTCTGGTCTCCGCTGAGTACCCAGAAAGGTTATTTGGTTAACCAAACAAACACCAGGGGTGAAATAGCCAAATGTGATAATGATATTCTTACAAAGAAAATAGCATGGGTTTTTTTGGATGTGGAGGAAATCAAGAGGGACATATGTAACCACTGTATTCAGAAGAAAAAGGGAGGATTGCACGGTACAAAAACACTTGAGTTGTAGTCAACAGGAAGTTAGTGATACACTGGGATTGTTTTTATTGTGGTTCCTGTTTTCTCAGTTCACCTGTAACTCTGTAGGAGAAGACAGGAGTAGCTTGCTGAAGGTAAATAGGATTCTTAGCAAAACAAAAAGATGTTGAAATACAGTTAAGCTTCCAGCAACGTCAACTATTAAAGATAGGCTTTACTTACCTAGTTATTACCATACGTTCCCATCAAGATTAAAATTTAAACAACTTTTAACAACAACAAATGCACATTTATTGAAGTCCATAGCATTATTTCTAAAGCGTAACTTGCCTGTATGAAAATGAACTAATTACATTGTTTTTTTCTGTCCATCCGCACAATATTGTTCTTATATGTTTGTACTCTTGGCCATGTGGCCTCAAATACTGAATAAACTTCTTCTTCTTTATATCACAGGTGAGAACAGATGATTTCTGCAACACTGTGAGTTGCGTTTTAGGCCACTTTTAGCAATATTCCAGCAATATCACGGTGGGGGACACCAGAAATGGGTTTCACACAATGTACCCATGTGGGCAATTGAACCAAGACCTTTGGCATGACAAGCAAACGCCTTAACCAATGGGCTACCAGACCGCCCCTTTGAACCACTGTCAGATGACTCTACAAATCAGCATGTGAACATCAAACTAGGTTTCGTATGATATCAACAAACAATATAGTGCATTAACCCGTGTGTGAACTGACATCTACATTAAGAGATCATTCAGCAAAAATACTTGACATTCTCTTCGATGCTAAACATGGTTTACGGTAGTCTTCAACTGCCCTTACATATCTCCCACTGTCATCTATCAGAAAACAGCCGGGTTTTTACACAAAAAGGAAGATAGCGGTATAACAATGTTTCGCATGCATGGAACGCCAGCGGATATCCTGGTATGTTACACTCTGTGATGAGCTTCTAACTACTGTGGAAAGACTATCCACTACCACTCAGCAATATTTCACCTGAGCTACAGGTGAGACGTGACGAGGAGTGATTGGTCGGCAGCAACACATGATGTATTGCCAGACACAGAAAACACCTGTACACTTATTGTTTTCCCACAACAATCACATTCACCTGGATATTCCAGTGTGGTTAGTGAGGCAGTCTGGTTTTAAGTTGCTATCAGGATTATTCTATTAATATCACAACTTGGACCTTAGAAATTTTAACCATCACGGGACTTGAACAACAGTGTGTGAACATGCTTGTATGTTGTCTGTCTCCAAGACCCTACAAAGTAAATTAAAAAGGAGTCCAACTCTAGTCTAAAATGATTTTGCAAGGCTGGAATTTAAGGATGGAAATTAAAAGCATTGTTCTGGCCTCGTGGATGCTTTTGAAAATATATATATTTTTAAATCAGATAACTTTATTTCTGGGACTAAATGTCAGCCTAGATTTTATGCTGCTTTTAGTATTATTCCAGTAGAGGACACCAGATGATGGCTTCACACACAGTAACCATTAGGAAAAATTAACCCAGATCTTTGGCATGAGTAAACGCCTCAGCCACAAGGCTACACTACTGCCCCAAATGTATTCAGAAACCATGTAAGTGTCAGGAATAAATATTTTGATTAGACATAGATATCTCATTAATCAAAATGTTCTTAATGAAGATTGAACATTCCCAAGAACAAATGATACCGTGCAAGAAAATCACTGCCTCATTGGAGAAAGTCACCTAAAAACATGACATAAAAGAGTTTCTTTGATTGAGACTAAAAATCTGTGTGGCTCCAGGGAACAAATACTAATGTATCAGTGAAGTGTTTGCCCAGCTGCAACTGTATCTGGTTGTGAAGTTGCCACACCGGTCATATTGATCTCAAATATTTTGACTCAAGACCATGCCAGTCATTGTTTCTCTGGAGGAAATATAGAGACTCCGAGTACAAATCGAGCTGCGACTTCATTCATCACAATAGAAAAACATTTTGCATTCCCACAGCGACTGCGATGCTTTAGATTCACAACTAGGATCAATATCTCCTCCATTCCAACCCACCATTTAATCATCATCCATTCCAGAAACATGCATAATAAGAAAGTGATATCTATTTATTCAGGTGAATAACACGCATTTTGCTACTTCACATCTACACCCCTTCAGAAAGAATCCAAGGTTGATATTTGATGCTTTTCTCTCTTTAAATATCAAGGACCTGCAGATACATAACATCATCCCACACAAGGAGTGGAGGAAGAGGCAAGATGGCCACGGTGCAGGCCTGGTCCTTCTCCAGGTGCTGTTATGATTAGGTCTGGAGCAAACATAATCCCCCTTCTCTGGTTCACCTCACACCAGGTGAGACAATCAGGAAGCTGTGCGTGGGTTAAGTCCCCAAACACATGTGAAT